TTCAATACTTTCTAAAAGTTTTCCACGGCTATAGTAGAAAGTTTCCTTGTCGACGTTCGCACCCCACTCAACAGCGTCAACCAATGGCGGTACAGTGCGCAACGCAAGCCGCCGCGCCCCTCGCCACTGCACTACGCACGCTTGCAACAAAGCCGCAACGCAATGCACTGTTTGTCCCACTCACACGTATGAAATAACACCGTGTGCGTGAGAGACGGCATTTCATGTAAATATCGTATGCAAATTTTTTACCATTCAATTGCAAATTAAGTGATGAATTAAGTAATTATGTACTATTATAAGCCGTGATCATTATTATCGACTTGCATTGCTTGTATGTAACACCTTTAAAATGAAAAAAAAAATATTTTAACAGCTTAATGATATTACCAAGTTTTTTCTTTTTTAAATGAAGATTATGTTGCGATATTAATTTCAGTATCGTAAAATAATTTAAGTATAAGGTTTTTTTTATTTTCAGCTTTAAATTAATGAATTGTGCATAATCTTTCTTTTTTTTACTTTTGTAATAATTTTACATTCTATATGGTTACAATAATTATTTGCTAATCGTTAAATAAAAAATAAAAAAAAACAAAAAACTTACGAGGCCACTTTAAATGATCACTTCGAACATTAAAAAAAATTTAAGAACTGTTTTTCTATTTACGCAACAATAACAACAATGTTACAATCTCTTGGTAATCCCCTTAAAATAAATTAAAACGATGGAACAAAACAAATGACTGAAAGGAAACAAAAACAATTTTCAGTGCCGACATATCTATTTATCATAAGACCCATATATCTTAGAATACACTACCTAGGTAGTATTTAAAGAACAATTGCAAACTCGGAATATATTTAGACGAACAATAACAACTCTCTTTCCTATCCGATTCCAGGAATAGTAAATTACTTGTTACAGTATTACAACATCACGTTAGGTAAAGGGTGTGAAAAATCTTTTTTTCTTTTATAAGAGAAGGAGACAAACGAACGGAATACCGAGGTGATCAACGACACCCATGGACATCTGCAACACCAGAGGTGCAGATGCGTTGCCGGCCTTTAAGGAAATCTTATAAAAACTTAGGTTGTTATTAATGTTTCATGTATGCGGCTAAGCTAACAAACTTATATATAGTGAACACGTTATGGTGATTTAGTCCTCATTCGTAAAGGAACTTTTTTATCGTGCGTTTTAAAAGCGTTTAAATAAAACGTAACTGTTTTAAACGCGACGTTTTTTATCGCTTAGTGTTACGTTTTGAACGCTGGGCAAATGGAACAAGGGTGATGCCGCCAACGCCAAGTTTTAAAGCGGCGTTAAAAAACCGCCCGTGCGAATGAAGGCTATGTATATAGCAATGTAGGGTTGATTTAATCCTGAACAATGCAGTAAGAAAAGTTTTTTTTTTGTACAAGCAATCCCATAAGAATTATCTCTCAACAAAATTCAAATCAGAAAAACACTAACACTAAATCATATTCCTTACCCTAAGACCAATTAAATACCCATAAACGATTTTCAAATAAACAAATTCCATCCTTATCACATCTAGTACAAAGAAAGGAGACCGCGTGCACCCTTGTGTCATAAATTTTGTGGAAGTCAGAGAAGACATCGGTTATGTTTGGAAGCATGTGCGTGTTTTGTGAGGTCGAGATTATTAAGTCCTAATAAATTTTATGACCCTCGAGAAGCCAAGGTGTCACCAGGGGCTTACAATAGTTATCTACCTTATATTCAGTCTACAGAAACTTAAATATGTATTACAACAGTGATTTATGAGTATTGCCTTTTCCAATATGATTTTTGTCACTAAATTCCTATAATGTATTATTGGCGCATTGAAAATAGCTTTAAATAATGCTTAATTATGTTAGCGAATGCAGAATTTTTTTCTATACTCAATGAAAGTGTATAAATGAATCAGACGTAGAAAATATTGTGCTTAAGATGTAGTTATAAGTAAATATCGTTTTTTAATATTTTATTTTATATCATAGATTTAAGACTATTCATTAGATTCTTTGTTAGTTTATTGTTAAAAATTGCATTAGTTAATATATCTTAGTCTATATTATATATTTATAATAATAATGCTATAAGTAAATCTAATATATAAAGTTTACTTGTCACAATGTTAGTTACCATACTCCTCCAAAAGAGCTCTGAGATGGTCCGATTTTTATAAAATTTTATATGAGAATTGGCTACTATCCACTTTTAGTCACTCGCAAACAAAGTCGCAGAAGACAGCTATTTTCCATATATTCGAGAGTATTTATAATTCCTTTACTTATATTTATAGTATCACATTCATCGTTTTGAAAAAACTCAAATGTAACTAAGTGTTAAGTGCGTTTCAAGTAAACATTTTTTTCAACTTTACACTAATTTATTTCTTAATTACTTACTGGTATTATTAATGTCTTCAATTAAATACAAGAAAGTAGGTCTAAAACTTACTTATTTAAGCTTAAATTAAAGTTAAATATGATTTTTTTGATATGTTTAAGAGATGTTAATAACCTTTAGAATTTTTAACAATGATATGAATTAAACAAATTATTTGCCTTGCCGTGTACAAAGTCGTTAATTGAACGCGTTTAGGCATTTTCTAAATAATTCATCAGACGAATGCGCATCGTATAATTAACACTTCATTACAATTAAAACCGCGTAAAACAAATGTTCATTATTAAGGCGAATGTGGACGTGATTTATGTTATTAAATCATTTATGCCAACTAATACAGATTGTACAGACATTAATTAATTAATAATAAAAGATACAACGCTAGATTATTATATACATGAAAATACTAAAGCTCGTGGAGGTTAAATGTATTAAAATGTTAAGTCGTCTTAAAATGATTCAATATATTTAAGGACTAGCTGTCGCCCAAGACTCTGTCCGCGCAGAATTAATTAAGTTATAAGTAGTCTATGTATTCCTTCGAGATCCTTTAATCCGTTCCAAAGATACCTTCTAACAAACAACCATCCACCTACTACTACTACACTACATTAATATGATTACGATTATGGCCACAATAACATCTAATTGTGGCTTTCAATTACGGTGACATGCCTGTCTCTTTGCAATGAACATATAAGAGATGGCATTGTTTATCTATCACAAAATACTAAAATATCTACGACCACGAAAGTGGAAAACATTTGAAAAAGTTGTATACTTTACTACAATTTGTGTAAAGGCCGCTACACACCTTTCAGTTTTAATTGACGAACAGTTAGACGAAGTGGAGACGAAAATTCCTATTTAAAATATGTCCTCATCCCTCTAATTATATTTGACAAAACAAAGATATCGATATAGTATATACAAAGATTTTGGCGTCAGAAACTAACTATAAATAAAATTGTAATTGTCAGTTAAACTTTACAGTTCTCATGTTTCGTTACACATCTTAAATTTTAACTATATAGTCGAATTGTGAAGTTAAAACTATACGTGTATAGCGGGTTTCAGAAGAAAGAAAAGCGTTGATCCAGTGAAGCTCCATGTTACTTCGACTATAATATGAGGGGAATTAACATAAGGAAATAGTAAAACCAATTATTTGGAAAACTTATAGTTCTATCATACTCTTAGAGGCATGTATATCGCGGGATATCAATATATTTTTTAAACATAACCTACCAATATTTTTTTTTAAGTTATTAATGAAAATAGCGCTGCTTCACTAACACTTTCCAATATATAAGATCCCGTGTCAATAATGTTATAGGATCCTTTTATATTTTATCGAAACATAATCACATTTTAGTGGTCACTCATTTCTTAACATATCGACTAATCTGTTTCATTTGACATTTTCTAATATTATTTAGAACTCTTCTTTTATCTGGTAGAGTAAACAAGAAATAACTATTGCAACTAATACCCTGCAGTAAAAAAAATCCAATGGTTCTAGGTTCACTAGCCTTGGTGTAAGAATATTAAATATTACTGCAGTACAACCGTTTAAAACAATTCCAGGGTGAATAAAAATAGACACATAGTGTCGGTTATTTATTATGGATAGCGGTCGGCAATTTTTACTCCTCACAAAGATGTCGTGTCGCGTCCCGACTGATGCATGGCGAATGTCCGCTACAACAGACTGATACTAAGTACCGCGTATGAGGAATCATTTTAATTCCACTCTTGATGGATGTGTTTGTGTTTGTCTGTTAGTTTTTGTGCAAATGAGGCGATATAAATGTTGTTGCTATCTCAAAGGAAATACGTTTGCAATCTATATAGATTCAAATTAGTCATAACTTATGATAATTAAGGCTCAATTTTCAATACTAACATTATAAGTAAGAATTAAATTTAATTAACTGAAGAATATTTGCAGAGCCGTAGACCAAGTTGACTGACATAATATGAAATGTCTTTAGTGGCTACGTCGTAGAAATATTTTGACATGACCCCTTACAAACTCATCGAAACTAGATCTGCCAATAAAGATAGTAATACGCAAATAAATCTTAAAAATGTCAAAGGAAATTTACTAAAAAGATTGATGAATTAGATATTTGGTTATATCCTTATGTATTAGTTATGAATGTCTAAAGGAAAATCAGTACATATATCTTATTCAATATAAATGACAAGAAGCGCTAGAACAATTTCGATTCAATGTGTCGAAGTGAATTGATACATAAAAAAATGTTCATAATTGCATATCGGCGTAGAATGAGTGCCACAAAACACGTAGCCGTCGATCGTTTACCATCAATAATCATCAATCGGTCCATTGAAATCCGATAGGTGGTGCTGCGACGGCGTAGGTACTCTAATTACGCTAATCGCTGTCGGCGGGCGCGGAAGCGGGTGCGGGCGCGGGCAGGCACACGTGGTGGCTGGTAGCGGGCCAGGTGCCCCGCCCCCCGCACTGCCCCCCGCGCGCACCTCTCGCCCCGCGAACGCCCCGCGCACGGCCAGCGCTCACCTCAGCCAGACGCGCGCTGCACTCGATGCCCGAACGCCGGGAAAACACGAGCCGTTTTCCGCCGCGCGCCGAACTTTCGGACGAATATCCGAGCGCGCTTCATTCGAAAGTTCAAATTTCGAAACGCGATAGTATTCCATTCGAATTTTAAATACTTTATTTTCAACTTCGTTATATGTGTAAAAGTGTAAGATTATTTTGAAAACACTAGTGGGATGTTGATGTGAAATACTTTCTCTTGAATGTGTTTGTAAAAGTTCTTTTTAGTGTCCAATTTGACCGTAGCCGAAGTGAGTATATTAATCTTAAATAATATTTGAGTATTATTTTTTCTCGAGTATTATAATGTGCATTTAATATTATCTGAGTAACGGAGGCGCGAAGTCATAAAATCAAAGCGTAGCGCAGTAAATCTTCGCGGACTTTGTGGATTCGAACTGGCCACTTGATGTGGCGCAGTTTATAATAAACTCGGGGCCTCTTGGCATTATTGCCTAATAAAATAAATGTTAATTGCGACAGGAGCACGCTTTCATCATGTCTATAAGATTTATGATCATAAAATGTTTTGTAACGTTCACACTACAACTTGTAGTCGTTTTCTGAACATACATTAATTGTGAGTTTATAATTTCAATTAAGAGTAATTTTATTTATCTTTGACTAAGCATGGAGTGCTTAGACAAAGTTCTATTAGATTAATAAAATCGCAGGTGTATTAATAAAAAATATTTAGATTCGATGTACGCTTTCTTGAAATCAGTTCTATACATTTTCCTGGATGCACCAAATCTACTGATGAATTGGTAATTTCGACTTAAGGTAATTTTAAGACTATACTTATATGGACAAGAGTGTCTCGTCTAAATATTATGTTTACCTATATCCTTAGAATAAGATTAATAAATATTTATATTAAGAACTTAGTTAAAGTAGAGTATTAAAAATAGTGTTATGGCTTCTCCTTAAGATTGTTATAATAAAAGCAATCGAATCAGAAAATACAAACTTCTAAAACTATGTCGCCTCATCAAAGGATGTCGTATTTGAATCCGCTTCAAGATGTTAGAGAAATGAAGTAAAACAACAAAAGCAATGAAATCGTTCGGCCCATTTAATTTGGACCGGACGGGAGTGACAAAAATTTAAAACTGAAATAAACCGAACACATGTCGTTCTGATGTCACTCCGCACACACGTATTAAACTATGGGGGTAAAGAGGATACTGAATTGTTTGTTGAAAAACATATTGGCATACTATTTAATTTTTATGTGCTATTTACATATGTATTTAAAATACTGTGAATTAGAACGAATTTTTGTATTCAATTAAAAAAAAAAGTTGAAACAAATGAAATATTTCTCAACTATTATTAGGTACTAGTACTTGTCAATATATTAAAATATAATTAATAAGAAGAAGTATAATTATGAAAGGTAATTTAAGAGCTCTATCTCCGTACCGATATGTCTGATAGTTCTTTGAGGAATAGAGCGTAAATAATTTTTTTAAGACAATAATGCATGTCTTCGGGTGTATTAGATGTATATCTCTAGCCTTGATCACTTACTATCGGATTACAGATTACTTCTACAATCTTTAGATTCTATAAAACACTAGCTGTCGCCCGCGAAACTGTCTGCGCGGAATTAAAAAAAAGTAGTCTATGTGTTCTTCCAGACTATGTTTTACATCTATGCCAAATTTAATTAACATCCGTTGAGATTAATAACTAGCGTTAATGGTTAGGAAGGTGGATAAAATTTATTTCTTAGCTTTTCTTTTTAACAGAAAAAATCGAATAACATCTCTATCTCCTCTGTATCTAAGTCATGTACAAGAATTTTACATATACCAATTCAACATCTCATCATATAATTATACAAATAATTCCATTCTATGTTTAAATCTAAATTTAAAATAATCTTCAAAAGTGTGAACATCAAAAAGTAACATCATCCCGTCGCAAGCGCACAAAAATATCACGAGTACCGGTCGAAATTTCACACATTTGTCATCGGTGCTGCGTAAGCGACGAATAAATCGAATGCACAATGACTGCTAATTTGCTCTTAAAGATGTATGCATCGAGGTACGTCCATAAATCGGGCGAAGTCACATTCGGCCTACCGCGCACACCCATAAACCTCGGCGGACACTTTTATAGCCCGACCACGTGGCGGAGCTGATTTTTTCCGCACTTGACATGTGTGCGCGTTAGACATGAAAGTCGCTTTATTAATTTATCGTTTTGTAATAGACCCCCGTGTATGCTATACTTCTCTTAAGAGAGTAAATTTTATGAAGATTATTTTTATTAAGTAAAACGGTAATTAATATTCTCATTGTATGTATGTTTTTGCCACTAGATGAGGTGGTAGCCTAAATCTAACAATAATACACTTAAAAAGTAAACAGTATAATCTCAATTTTGCTTATTCTCCCTAACATGCACTCAGTGAACCAACAAGCCAACTCATTATTATAGTTCTGTCATCCGTTTCGTTTAAGTTACTATTTAACAAAACATTTTTTAAATCATGCATATAATTACACTCATAATGCATAATGAAAAAGTATTTTTGTAATGTTAATTTAAATACAATTGCTTTAACATGTGTCCGTACAACATTTGTTCCTGCGTTCTTCATACGGTTGTCTTGTGAATGCACATTGACTTTATGCAAAAACAAGATTATTATAACTAGATATATTGTGATCGCGTGCCTGTTTTTCACACTTCGTGCATCTCGAAATTAAAATAGCAATCGAGCGCTAATTATAGTGTGTTAATTAACAGTGAACAACACACGTGAAATTATTACATCGTCTAATGTGTCTATAATACTCAAACAAACGATTTATTTTCTAAAACTATGTTACAATGTAGACAATCCAGAACACGTGCTCGTTCAATACGGCTGTACATTTATCACGAACAATACCATAAGTCTTCCCTAACAGGATATCACACTTGACCAACTAATGTGTCTTATTCTATCACAGGTCCATCCATCAAACTCTGCTACGAGAGGACAATTGTACCGGAGCACAAACGTCCGAAGCACTTAACATGTCCATCTAGACTATTCTCTCGTCTAAAGAATGATAGCCTTCGAGTGAATTTGAGAAAATAGGCGAAGACAATCTGTTACCGATGAACGACCTAAATTACAACGCAGGGATGAGTTCCTATCAATTCGTCAACTCACTGGCGTCCTGCTATGGAAACCAGGCACCCGGGCGTACGGGGACGCCCGTCGAGCAAGGTGGACACCCGGGTTTGCCCACGCCGGGAGCCGACTACTACAATCCGAACGCGGCGGCGACAGCGTATCCTAACACGTGTTATTCACCACCGCAGGTCGGACACCATTATCCGCAACATCCATATGCAACGCCAGCGACGGGCGCTCACATGCAGCCGCAGACGATGATCGACTACACTCAGCTTCACCCTCAAAGACTCGGAGGTACCCCGAGTCATATGCACCAGCACTCGAACCCTAGCCCTGGCGCACTCTCGCCCAACCTGATGTCGACAACGCCTAGCCAGGCGGCAAACGCGAGTTGCAAATTCGCTGACTCGACCTCTACTACCGGCGTGGCCTCTCCTCAAGATCTGTCCACTTCATCCGGACCTGGTAGAACCTCCCCTGGCTTTGGACCGGTCGGTCAGAACGCCACCGGCAACAACAGCGCCAAGCTCGGCCTGACTACACCGATTGCGTCGCCAGTGGAGCACAAGGCTAACGTGAACCAGAACATTTCCAGCCCAGCGTCCAGTACGTCGAGCAATGAAAGCAACGAAGCGAATAACTCCAGCTCTAACAACACAAAGAACTCCAAGGCGTCGAACTCGCAAGCAAATCCTCCGCAGATTTACCCGTGGATGAAAAGAGTGCATCTCGGACAAAGTAAGTATCTTTTTTTTTCTCTCTTGCGCATGCCGAATTAATAACTGTTTTGCTTGGTCGTGTTCATAGAGCGCGAGAACAATGAATGGTGGAAAAACTCGATTCACACTTTTTTACCATCGGCGTGAAATCATTAATAGCGCGAGCTTCCTCGTCGATGCCGGCGTCCAAACCACGCCTACGTTACAATCTACTTTTCGCTCAATTATGAAACGATTCATCAATTGGATGCCAAGGTGGAGACAAAATAAATTATATATCTATTTATAAAACATTAGCATGCATTACTGTCTGATCAATATGGATGTCTGATGGATGGAGTCCATAATAAGGCGTAATGGCTTTGTTTGTTGGCGGGCGCTTACGGCGGAGCGTCGAACACTTTTTTTTTCTTTTAGACTCCTAATGATGAGGAAAGTGCGCCGTCACCGTGACGTCGGATTTGACGGATTCGAAACTTCTGGTGTTAACAGTGAATCAGATCTTTTGATAGAGGTTAATCTGTTTTTAATAGTCCACTGCTTTTGAAAATATTCTTATAGCCATATTCAGATTAGATTTTACTACAACCACGTTACTAACACATAAGAGGGACAACAACGAGATCAAATAACAACGCTATAATAGTTTGGGCTATAAAGGAATATAGACAATTAACTTGAAATTAAATTAAATAGTGAAATTCAACAAATTTTGTAGTAAAAGTACACACATATATTTCACCCACTAAATAGTACGGTTTTTTTCATATCCCAACACAGAGTAATGTAATACGCCAGACAGTTCGTAGTGTAGTCATCATAGACAACTTGTTAAGTCGTAGTCAACTCAGTAGTGTCAAAGCAATTAAAACAGAAATAAAAGCGATGGAAGTAATAATAAAGAACATGAGACGTACAAACGCAACGGCTGTCGCGTTAGATGTCCTGAGATAAAGACGGGCGCAGATGTCGCACGCCGTTCCGGGAATCTCGCTGACACACTATTGTTTTACTGACGTTCAACACGCTCTGACCTTGCCAAGGTTTGTAAAAAATCATTAGAATTGTTCTATTTTAGTTGTTTTAAGATAACACACCTATGTTGAAATCTGCACGAGAAAAAACTTTTTTCTCCAAAGACTCTAATGAAAAGACTTTTTTGAAATTGATTTATTTTTATACATAAGGTATTACTGTAGTAACATCTGTATAAAATCATATTGTAAACTGTATTTTTCGAGACAAAAATGAAAAGAGGTGACAATTTGTTTTGCAATGAAAACTCACGATTACGTGTGTATTTTACACAAAATTTTGAATGCATTCGATTGTAATGCCTAATTTTCATTAGCTGTTTACTTTATTAAACATTTAAAAGATAACATCAAATACTCTTTAAATAGAAGAAAAATAGCGTTTACTGGCAAAGATAACGTTTGTTTAATTACTAGCGAGCGGTTTATCTTTTCACGTCTGGAATTTAACATTGACTGAAATCGATACGTTTATAATGTAATGGGGAATTTCTTTTATAATTTCGTGTGAACTTAAAACTAAAACGTTGTAAATTAAACAGTTAATTAATCAATTTCAAAGGCAAAATGATAAACCGCGAAACATTTACATTTTAAATAATTATAATTTATTCAGTAACTAGCTGCCGCCCGACTTCATCTGCGCTGACTTAAATAAAATAATAATTAGTAGCCTATGTGGTTTTCTAGAGTTTATTCTACATCTACGTTAAATTTCAGCGAAATCCGATTAGCGGTTCTGGACACAACTTCTACCAAACATCTATCTACCCATTCATCTATCTACACATTCGCGTTTATAATGTTAGTAAGATTTTTAATTAAAATTTTTCTTTTTTTATTTAATTACATATAAATATAGTAACATCTGATCTTCAACATATTCTGACAGAGTTTTTTCACTTTCTGACACTTATTTTTTCTGTCCGATTCTGTATTTTCATTTTTACTATTCGTCTTAACCTCCTAAGCGTCTGTGTCTGACGTTAAAAAGTAATTAACAAAACCAAGAAAACAATCAACGCCGATTAGTACTCCAACCCAACTTGATTAGCGACTTTAAATTACAAAACTCTACGATCGCGTAACCAACTTTCATAGATAGCTTAAAACTCTATCTACGCTAAATTCATTATGAATATATTATCTAGTACAAAGAAGCTGCTTTTCAGAAGCATGGCGAAGTATGGTAATAAAGTTAAAAGGGGGCCGTAGGTCGATTCTTTCATGCCTCGCGGCCATTACTCAGGACGTGGCGCAAGTGGCAGCGACCTAGAGGTATGCGTGTCGATCCCTCTGCAAACACTCGTGTCGGTTTCTTTATACTGACGAGCAAATGGTTATAAAGTTAGATAAAAAATATTATAAGTTAAACGTATTGATTTGTGTTTTCAATGCATCAGTTCTCTATCGACTGTGCTAAAATTGCTTTATGTTACAGGACAAAGGTTTCTTAGGCAATTTGGAAAGTATGTAATATTGCAATAATAAAAAATACAAAAACAAATCTATACACTTCTACCTATTTAGTAAATATTTTTGATGAATTGTACTATAGCACCAACATTACCGAATTAGACGTAATCGCGTGACTTTCTTTTACAACTTAATTCAGGATAAATTTATGGTTTTGTTCTACTAATTTAATATAAGGAATGTGACTTCAAAGTACACTAATTAATTTTATTATTTCTTCGACCTTTTTTTCAATTACTGTATGTATATTTAAATACAATAAAATATCGATGGTTATGAAAAACGATAGTCGTTTCTTTCGATTGCTTTTAACCGGAGTTTGACCTAAACGTTTATTGCAAATCATAGTAAAGCAACGTCCGGAGGGAAGTTGACCCCAAGAGGGCAACAATTACCTATCATAAGATTGAACTGTGAGGGATATTTGTGTTCAGTAAACGCTAGACGGCTAAATCGATGATGAAACCTTTATATTACCTGGTAAACGTTTGCTTTAGAATTTAACTTTGCAAACAACTAGTTCCGAAACATTTATGCAAATGTTTAAAGATACATCTATAATAATAGCGATGCTCATATGCTTTTATACAGTGGAAACACACTCTTACAGCGAAAGGACAATTTTAGATTGAGTTTATTCCGTTCTCACATAACTTATCGTTACGGATACGGATTCGTTAAAAGCTCCTGACCGCGACCAACAGGATATTTCGCTCGATTCAAATTACATGCAAAACTTACCTGTTCCGAGATACACTGCGGCGGCGATTAGTAAATAAATAACAAATTAAATTCCAGTAAAGATTAGCGGCCGAGTCGTACATATACATAAATCAAGTCGTTCGGTCGCGCCGTACGCAGTAAATTATGATTCAAATAATATTATGGTAAGGCATGCTTCGTGCTGTTCTTAGTTAGCATGTTTCAAGTTTAGTTCGGAACAGTGGAACGCTTAGTTGTTTTAACGAACGCGTTCATTGTTTTTATATAAGATAACTTTTACATTTAACATTATACAATTATTAAAAAATATATTTTAAAAGGAAAAACAACTTCATAATTTTGGGTAGCTAATGTAATACAAAATTACTCTTTCCCTTAATTTAAAGCATGAGCATCGCCTAATTGATTCTTTGCATGGGTGGTAATAAACAGAGTACAGTCGCATCGCTATGTTATTCTCTCTCAACCGTCATTTGTTTAATAAATGATATCTGAACAGTTTATGCATGTCGCGGCTGCCACTTGACTCGTATTACCAATATTAAGGCTAAAAAATGTAAATTGTTAGCATAAAAACAACAGGACCTGCATAAACTTGCATTTCAAGAATAACACATGCACCTTTTTTTTCTTCTGATGCTTTTTATCCTGAATAATATACATACATAATTGGCACTTCGATTTATAACAGTTTTTTTCATAAATAAGTTAAATAGACTTGAAAAGAGTGATGCAACGCTTTCATTTGTACACTATTTATGACAGTAACATTTCTAGACCCTCACAGTTTCTGAACAGCTTGGAAATATATAACATTTACAAAAGGATTCACAAACAAAACCTCTAAAAGTTAACTGGTTAAAAAATAAATAAATAAAAGAGGTAAGGGGAGTAGTCAGGCGGAGGCGTGGTCGACTCTCAGGGCCGTGCGATGGCGACGATGATATTGCAGAATTAGATCGCCTGCGAAATCTGCGAACCCCTAATATGTGACGTCACTATATGTCATACCATTAAACTAGTATATAAGAACAGAATAAATAAGTGCACTTTTATTCCTGGCCGCTAATATAGCTCGACTAGAGTTGACGGCCAGATAATTTTCGAAAAGAAAAAAAAAAGAAATTACACAAAAGAAGAAAACCGTAGTATAAAGTACATGGGTTGTTAATAATTGCATAGTATTAAATTATTTTACTATCTTTAGTTTAAGTTTTTATTTTGGAAAAAATTTTAAAAACTTTTTAGTTTAATACTAAATAGTTTTTCTCCAAAGACATGGGATATAAATAAAAGTAAGTTCGACATCGAGATTCCCATAAGCCCTTCGCTATTCCCTCGAGACGTTCCTCTTTCAATTATTGATGGAAACTTTTAGCCTTATACAACCAAAATGGTGCGGTTTTACGGCTAGCGATTAATTTTAAAAAAAAACTACATGCTCGTTCTTATTTTAAAATATTAATAGTGCAATTTGTTGTATTACAAATGCAAGTTGTTCTATAAAACATATTTAAAAATGTAATACTCATTAAAATTATTAGAAAAAAATACTGGCAATTGATAAATAGAAGAAACAGGTGTAATGTGAATTTATTTCTAGCAACGTCTTGGTTAATGAGAATAATGCATAAAGGGCTGTTTATTTTTTAAAATTAATTTTAAATTACTACATTTTTAAAGGCCAGTCTTGTTTTACAATATAATAATGAATACACATATAGTTTCTTTAAATAAATTAATATTGCAAAACTAATATGTTATTTATAAATCTGCTTTCTTTTAG